TTGGTTTTGTACGTGTTTCCCCAAATCTCCACACAGTAAATCAGATATGGCAATATTAGTGTGTTATATAGAGTATACAATGAGTTATAGTCCAGAATGTGTCTGGCTTTTCCCAATATTGCGATAGTTTTAGCCAGTTTTGCTTTTACATGAGTGATATGAGGTTTCCAGCTGATTTTGTGCTCTAAAACCACACCAAGGAACTTAATTTCATATACTCTTTCTATGTGTATGTTATCTAGTATTAATTGTATCTGTGGATTTGTTTTATGTTTTCAACAAATTCAACAAATTGTTGTCTGTTGCTTAAATAATCTCTCACCCAGTTTAATCCCACCCCTCTGATGCCATACCGTTCCAGTTTTATCAGTAAAATATTGTGATCTATGGTGTCAAATGCTTTTTATAAGTCTATAAATATTCCCATTGCTTGTTTTTTATTGTCCATGCAGTTTGCTATTTCCTCACTTAATTCCATTAGTGCCATAGATGTTGATCTATCTTTCCTGAATCCATATTGACTGTCATCCAAAAGCTGATGTGTTTCCATGAAACTGTGCCGCGGAAAACGGTACAAATCCCGTTTCAATAATTCCCCTCTACTGTAAAGTCGCATCTAAAACGTGATCTGATCTAGCTGTGTATATTTTGTTATTTTTGATTGTTATATTCAATCTCACTAGCTACAGGCATGTTTAAGCTTGTAAAGGGAAGATGACAGCTCTCGCCACTCTGCTGTTCCTCAGCGTCGTCCCCCTCCCTCCCACTGAAATTATGAATGTAAGGTGTATAGTAATCATAGATAACACGGCAGGGTCCGTTACAGTTTGTTTTTATCTGATTTCAAATAAGCAAAGTCTTGGGTTTCAGAATATTAAACTTGTTTCGATAAATTCAGATGATAAATACAGCTTTGAAGCTTGTGACGGCATCATTACAAGCGGAGAACGGAGTAATTTAACGTCACAGCAGGCATAACAACAGCCGGTGTTTATCGTGAGTGTTTTCCCCGGGAAACAAACACAATACACACAAACGCAAAATTACACAAACACACACACACGTATACACACGCACTCGCGAGCTTCCCCTCCAAACGAAAATATCTTCCCTCCGTAGTATTTTGATCATTTGCTCCACTAATAATCAATCAGATCGATGGATTCCAGAGAAGAGGAAACTTTTAAGGCCTTTTTCTCAAAATGATGACTCGGTGACAGTCATTATATAATGTGACATATTTCGCTTAATATTTGGAGTACAAAAACAATCCTGATATCATTAGAAAGCTAGGAATATCCTCTTTCCAACAGTGTATACAACTCAAAATGTGTCTTCGGGTCAATGCGACTGATTTCGATGGAGCAGGTCACAAATACAGTCAATCTAAACTTAAATGTAACAACTGGAAGGTCACATCCCTGACATCCACATCTCCGGAGCCTGGACCTTCATCAATCATAGAAACAGCGAAGCCAGATGAACCCAAAAGCAGCACCTATGCGGCCGCAGAAACTGTCAAAACCACCGCCGCCGTCGTTGAACCGAAACAGGCTGATTCCGACTGCATGGAGGTTTGTTGTTGGGACATTGAGGCGGGTAAAGCTGTACAGCTAACTATCGGAAAAAAGGAGACCGCTAGTAGATTATTTGAGCAAAGAGAAGGTACTTCAACGCAGAATGGTACAAAAACAGAGAGTGGTTCATTCTTTGCAAAACCACTAAACGATAGTGATAAATTGCGATGTTAACAACCTCATGATAACCTCATATTTTTTTAACTTAGGATCATACCTGTGTTTAGTCTAGAAAAAGGTAAATGTGTGCATTTTATTATAAAGTTGTGTATATTTACAGACTATTGCAAAAACTAAGAAGCTTATAAACATCAGGTTTAAAACTAAAAGAGCTTTACAAAAAAGTAACCAAAGATGTTTGGAGTTTTATTTGAGTTATTAATTTAAACTTTTTGTCTAAGAGATGCTGATTTGAAACCGTTGTTACATACAGTTACGCATTTCCTGTTTCTGCCAGAGAGAGGGGAGGCCGTCCCAAAGCTTGCTGCTGTATTTACTCCCTCCATCTGACAGGAGGGAGCCTCATGTGTCACTCCACGGAGTTCACTCCGTCACGGAGGGTGTGTGTGTAGGTGTAGGGCGTGGTTTGGGATTGGGCCATACACACGCACTTTTTTTGGCCCCCCCCACTTCTAAAATGAATCCGGCTCGCCTGGCCTGAGCTAATCTGAAATAAACATTGAATACTGCTTTGAACCGGTATTCTGCATCTTGTGACTGTAACACTCTCTTGTATATAAGGCATGTGAAGGACACTGATCTGATAACCATGCAACTCTGTGTGTGATGACTACTTCCTTTCTTGCAAGGATAATAAATACATGTATCCTGATATTGAAGACCAAGCCGGTGACGAGTGATATTTTCCTAACAGTTCTCAGATAATACAATGAATAGAGTGATATCCTTCATACTATCCCATGTCATCATGACACATACAAACAGTATACAATACATGAGTTGTATTCCATACATTTAGTAATAGCATTGTTTGAGGGAGCCTGACAACAATAACTTGACCAATCTTTAAAAAATCGTGAGGCCCTGCATGCTCAGTCCCCTCAAGACCCCGAGTCCTCCTTCAGTATATCAGACTGATCTGCTGCAGGCTCCATGTTGTTCCCCACTAGTCTAAAGATGGAAATGAGGCATTGTTTCTTTCGTCTTGGTGTGTACAGGAACAGTGGCGGCTGGTGGTAAATATTTTTGGTGGGGCTGTTCATATAAAACATTTTTTTGGGAGAAATGACCCCTTAAATTAGGACTTCTGGTGATGTAATGGCGCGTTTCCACTGCAGCGCGGAGCTCGCTTTAAGCGTGCCGAGCCGTGCGGGGTCCGTTTTTGGTTGCGTTTCCACTTGGCCTAGTACCGGCTAGCGTGTCCTAATTCACAGTTTTTCTGGCCCCATAAAATCGTGGTTCTAGGGCCAGGAACAACCAGGCTGAGTCGGGCTGAGTATGCTAAACTAGAGAGAGAATCGCTGGCAAGGGGGCTACAACTACAACAAGATGAACATATTTGACCGTGATTTAATTGTAATACACGTTTCAAAATGATGCCGAAGTAACAACATACTGATACCGGTTAGTAAAAACCATGAATTAATGCTTTGACAAGTCTGCAGACAGACGGCAGGCGAAAAATCCTTTTAAAATGCGTGTTTTCTAAATGGAGCTTGGCTAAGCTAACGTTATATATGCTCCGACCGTCCACACTCACAACAACGGCCTATACAGACATAAATAAACCAGCGACTGTATTCTCCATGACACAGACAGTCTGTGGTTTGTACTTGTTTAACTTTGTCTAGTTTCTGAACAGATCGTATCTGTCCCCGGCTGTTTGAAGAGCAAGCATGGGAAACAAAAGACAGCATTTACCTGTTTGCATCCAGCTAGCCATGCCTTTCTGGTGTACCAGCTACGTGAGAAGCCTCGTTGATACGTTTTGTGTTTTTCACGAGCTTGCTGCGATATATACAAATCGGGTTGGTCCGGTCCAAGGTCTTTAAGCAACAGTTTATCTCTCAAACTTCTCCTTTCAAAAGGATTGGAGATTAGCTCTTGAACGGAATTGGGCGGGGACCGAGGTCAGGAGACTCCACCTGCACATGAAGCCATCCTCATCAACTACTGCCATACTGCGTCACCCCACCGGATACGAGTCACTAGTGTCCAAACTACTCACAGACTGGACCGGGCGCTGACATTGGCGCCCGGTGATCATCAGATTTGACGACGCTGATTGGCTGAAATTATGTTTCGGCATCATAGTTTACAGATAGCAACAGTCAGCTGCTAGTGGCTGCTGCTGCACTGGTTGAGGGCTCCTTTCTTACCGCCCAGACGAGAGAGGGTAATGACCATAGACTGTATATATAAAGGTATAAAGGTATATAAAGGTACACATGGGCAAGGCCAGGCAGGAAACATGTGACTTATCAGTAACTTTAGACATCGTCGTAACACAATTTTAAACGAGATTTTATTGTAGATTATACATTTTACTGATAACAATTATATAATATTTACCTTGTTTATTAAAAATAAAAATAAAATAAAAAAATATTTTTTTTAATATTTTTTTATTTTGTATGTGGGAAGAGGTGGGGCGGCGCCCCTATGGGCCGGCCGCCACTGTGTGCCATCATGTCTCTATGCATAACTTAGACCTATGTGCCTAGTCGTCACACATCACATATGATGAGTCAGCTCTCTTCAGCATCAGGCCATGCTACATGTTGGTTAGAGCTGTGCAGGAAAGTGTTAACGCCTGGGGGGTAAAGCTCAAAATGAATAGAAACAAAAGCTGAAGCTGGGTGAACTGATCAAAGGCTGTGTTATTCCTGATGTCTCCCTGAAAAGTATCATCGACCAATGAGTGAATCACACCAGCCGTAAGGCCAAATCAGGCCAGGGGAGCAGAGTGGGGGGCTGTTTGATTTTGATTACTGATGTGTCATGATTAGAGACATAGGATAGTTTGAAGAATTTCACTTTTTTGCATCCTATAGAAGAACTAGTTATATTTAAAGAACATTGGAATAATAAATAGAAGGCTGGATGTCATCTTCATATCTCTGATTTGATGAACAACAACCAAAGGCTTTATAACACACATACAAATACTAGGCACCCAAGTGTATATATAAATACAGTATATAATTGATAATTCATTTATGATTCATCTTTGATTTATCCATCTAATAATTGAACATTTTCATTTAAATCATGTTAAAATGTTGCATAGAAACCTGTTAGCTAATGGCATCAAAGTATCTACTGTGTTATTCAAAGATTATGTAAAATACAAACAATGTGTTAAGAATGAAAAAGTTTGACATTATTATAAAAATGAAAATAATAGTTATATAATATTACTGGATCTCTTAATCTATGCTTTGTGTCCTTCCCTTCACACAGGTACACCCTTAGGGCCCCATTCTGACGGCCATTTTGGCTGCAGGTTAGCTGTTAGAGGCTCGTGACAGCAGAGGCTGAAGTGAATAGTCAAAGATAACTATTTTTATATACATAGCAGTCTCTGGTAAATATAAATTACATTTTTGGGTGATTGGGCTCTTTAGTTTAAAAGTGACAGAAAAGTATAAACATACCCTTTGCATTTTAAATGTCCTTTTCTATTTCTGCCTTTGGTTCATTAAGTGTTAATATTACAAGGATGGTAAGAGGTATTGATATAATTTGCTTTGCTTTATTGTATGCTATACCTCTCTGTGAACATCCAAGTGAAATTTGGTGACATTCTGGTCATTATTTCCAGATATACACGGGATAAGGCCAAAAGGCCCCCCTTCAAAACATGGTTGTGCTTTGTTCTACCTCGGGTAGGGGTATCTCGAAAACTAAAGCCCTTTTGGGGGTTTGTTCCTCTATTTATAATCCTGTACATTATATATTGCAAAATGCACACAGTTTTCCACCTAAAGATTTTGGTTGTATGTGTCATGTACAAATAATAATGCCTGGGACTTCAACAAAACCCATCCATTTCATTTATTAACAGACCTATGTGTCTGTTTTCTGAAGAAATGCAAAATTGATTGAAAACTGGAAACCCAATAAAGTTAATTACAAAATATTAGCACTGCGAGTTTCTACAACATTTTGACATAACAGGTTATATGCAATTTTGCGAAGGAGACAGCTGTATTTAACTAACATAACATTCATTCAACAGAACACACCAACCTATATAATAGATACTAACTTGCAACCTCGACATAACAAATAAATAAATGTAGACCGACTATGTAATAGAGGGCAGTCAAACATGACTTGTGTTTTAATATGAACCCACGGATTGTATGATAGCAGAGATAAGAAAGAGCATTTTTAGCAGGAAGAATATATTTGGCATGACGACGACTATTTGGCTATGTGCACGGAGTAAAAGAAAGATGAATGGAAAATGTCAAATGTAAGCATTTGAGACTGGCATTGCAATTGACAATTGTGACTTAAATGACATTTAAGCCTGTAATCAAATTCTGTTATAAATTCTAAATGATGTATTCACAAATCAGCATTATGCACAGTCTTTTATATCTTATGATTCATATTAATCACGTCCAAACAAGTTACTTTTTGCATTAAGTAATAACCTGTCCTGGTTCGACAGCAATGACATTACAACATTTCCAATTTGGAGAATCTTAAATTGCATGACTCAAGATTGACATACTGTACTTCACTGTGTCCTCTATGCTGCTCCTCCAGTCAGGGTGGAGGTCAGCTGATGCACAGACTATGATGCAGGAGAATGGTAAATCCATCCCATCATAGAGACATTGTTATTAGTTCACTGACACTCTGGCGATTATGTTTTTGGAGACTTTAAGGGAAAGTTGAACTTCAACACAGAACAGGGAATTCAACCTACTGCTGCAATAAGGGAGGTGTGCACCTGCGATGAAACAAAAAGCCTAGAGTACCAATCTTTTTGTAATCCACAAAGTATAACAGAAATATGAACCTGACATTTTCATACCACTGTCAGGCCAAATAAACAGTGAACAAGCTGTTGATAAAACAGGACTCTACTAGATGTGTGCACTCTGGGCTGGAACCATGACAAGAAGCTTTAAAGCTGGGCTTCCACAGCTTGCTGATAAAGCTAGTGACTCGCCAGTATCTCAATGTATAGGATGAATTTGTCAGCGGACCTAAAGGGTGTTCTCCAATAAAGTGGCCACTCAGTGTATTTGACCACTCTATAATATTTTAGTTGTCTCTCACAGGCACCCATTATACCTGATGTCTTAAACCATGGATACCAAAATGAAATTCAATTATATTCCAACGTTGCTTGCCTTGCTGCATTTCAGAAAATGCTGTAGTCATTTTTGTTCCACTACAAGCGCATGATCAGCACCTGCACTCAAAATTGTAGAAGTGTATGCTCCATTCCCGTTTCAAAGCCTTAAGTATCCAGTTTGCTTTGGGAAGCATTGTGGATGGAGGAGGATACGCAGAAACATCTTCTTCCTCCATCAAGCCCAGCAATTGGGCGAGGAAGTAAAAGCACCTGCTTGTACTGCTTTTTCAGCATGTGATTGACAGTTGTTTTAAATATTTTTAAATTCATTGTTATATGAGTAAACATGTGGAGACGGCAGGTAGGTGTGGTTCGGGCTGTCAATGAAACGTGCAAATCCCAAAATATGTCAAACACAGTGAATGACTACATTTTTCATTGAATATGATTCAGAACAGTTAAAGGTGGGGTAGGTAAGTTTGAGAAACCGTCTCGAGGTACACTCGTTGTTGTATTCCATGGAATGCTCTTAACATCCCGATAGCAATGAATATCTGAAGTGCTTTGACAAAACATCCATACAAAAATGTCATCTCTGGAAGCTGTAGCGCTGTAAAAAGCACGACCAATCATTTTAGCCGGCCCGGCTAAAGTAACTGGATGGCCTACCTGCCTGTCAGCCTTCCATCGGGGCACAAACTGATCTCGTGCCCTCATTGGTCATGTGCACGTTCGTGTGTGTTGGAGGAGGGGCTCTGAGGAAGTGGCAGATTTTTTCCAGTTGTGTATTTTCAAATTCTAGCGCACTCGAGCTGGTTTCTCCAAAATGACCGACCCCACCTTTAAAATGTTCCACAAAGTTTAAATATCGGTGTTAACTAAACAATTAAAATGTCACATTAGGTCAGAATCACAGCCCCTGGTAACAAGTCACGTTGTTAATGAAATAATCTGAAAGACACAAGGATGTAGACAGTGAGACCAACTGGGAGCCAAGGCTCTTAAGGGTTTATCTTTTCACACCAGGAAACCGTGTTAAATCTTAAGGAAAGTAAAGGAAAATCTAAATGTAAGTCATACATCTGTGCCTTTCTATAACAAACAGAACACTCTTCCCTTGGGGTTAATCCAACCAATCTGTTATGTACCGGACATGGCTGGACAGCAGATCGACCAGTTTGACCCTAAGGTACAAATCCCACTGAGAGTCATTTACATCATAAACACGAGCTTTTCCAACAGGTTGTCAAGAGTGTAATCAGGTAACAAATGCACTTCAATGAGCTAAGGTTCAAGAAACAAAATTAGTTAAATTCAATGCACACATGTATGAGTATTCTCCTCAAATAAAATGAAAAGCTTAACATTCAAAATAATATCCACCTGTATGCACCTACTTCTGCTAACAAAGTTCTAAATCACCTTGCATGCTACGCTCAGGAGGGCCAAGTTGATATCCTAAGACCTAAGCTCTCAAGGAATTGAATGGGAAGCTAGAAGTCCTTTCGTTTATTTTCAGGCACCTCAAACGACACAAACACATCTCACGCAGTTCCCTGTGGGGGGTCCACAGATACAGAATATTTGCTAGCTCCACCTGGGCTAACTCCACTTGTCACCAAATTACGAAGTAGTTTGCGCCGACCAGCCTGGTAGTCTTCTTCATCAACATTGACCAATAGTTTTATAGCTTCGTGGCCAACAGCCTGTTTTAAGGAATCTGTGATGAAGACCCCTTTAAGGGCCTCAAGCAATGATCCGTTGATGTAGTCCCTCCAGAAGGCATCCAAATAGGTGAGCTCAGAGAACTTGATGTCACAGATGATGGAACCCAAGTCTCGGGATTTGAGGATAGTGTTTGCCTGGTTGAAACGCTCAAATTGGCGCTCCACTGCCTCTTGCTTGTTAGAGAAGACGTTGCCCTGAAGTGCAGACTCATGCTGGCAATATTCAGCACGAACCCGGAGGCGGATATCTGAAGGAGGAGAGCACAACGTAAAGTCAATAAGATCATCAAACAAATCTCCTAGTGATACTCTACAAGGCTCTATGTGGACAATGCTCATTTGCCACAAATATTTGTGCGTAAGCACGGAAACATGAGCAATCTCTCCAAACATCTGGTCAAAAGGCATCACATTTAGACGGAGAAATGCAGTTTTCGTTTACCTTTACTCGTAGCTCTGTCGCCCCAATTACGTGTAAAGTGGGAGAAGTACTCAGATCTTGTACTTGAGTAAAAGTAGAAGTACCAGAGTGTGGTTCTACTAAAAGTAGTCACTGTGCAGATTGGTCCATTTCAGAATAATATATATGATATGTTTTATAATGATTGATCATGAAAGTGTTCTCAAAGCTGGTAAAGGTGCAGCTAGTTTGAATGACTTTGTATACTGCAGGGTAGCTGGTGGATTTACTCCAGGTGGAACTAAAGTCTGATTTAACACTTGATTAGATTTACCATCATTCATCCACATCTGTAAAGTAACTAAAGTATTAAATACATGTAGTGGAGTAAAAGTACCATATTGGGGGAGCTGTGGTGGTCGGTTCAGATTTTTACAACACACCGGTTTAAATCATGGTCCCCCATTTCCCTCTCTGTCACTGGGGAACAGAGCTTCCTGGAGATCGCTCTCCTCACAGGTTAACTAGTGACCTGGCAACATGGATGGAGGTGAAGCGACTACAGGGTGCGTCTGCTGGATTAATATTGTCTACTTATTTGTCGGGTAAACCATCACTTCCTCAAATTCAATAGTAGCAAACACCCAGACGGGCTACTAGCTGATCACCAACTCCAACTTCCAGTGATTGATTTGAATGGTGTTTACACAAAATATTAGAGTGCATCTTTTTGTTGGACGGGCATTGTATATTTCAGGTCTTGTGTGTAGATACAAGGCTAGGCTACTGCCTGACTCACTGCTGCTGTTTTCCTCCGATTATGAAAAAAGGAACACACGTTCCATGGCGTCGATATGAAGGCCACCTGCAGAGTTTGCGTTGTGGGGCTCGTCCTTTAAATGCTCAGAAAGATCCCACACTTTGGATTTCCTGCCCGACAGAATGACCTTAATGACCAGGCACAGCTCTGTATGAAGTCTGAGGGGTTTTCCGGCTGACGTTGTTTTTCTTTCTTCGACTAATAGACTGATGAAAAACGAATAACGTTCAGTCGACTAATTGGGGGCAGCCCTAAGTTTAATATACACACACAGGTTACTCAGAGTAGCCAGGTCACACTGTTAATCATATAATGCGTTTACATGCACTGTAGTAACATGGTCTACTTCGTGTAATTCTAAGTTACACTCGGACTGGTTGTAATTATTATAAATTACAAGGATGCATCGCTGCATTACAATCCCTCCAGGAAATATCAAATGTCTCTAATCCCTAACCATGATTCCTGTAACCCGGTTCTCTTTTAAAAAGAAAACATATATATATATATATATATAATACAGTATACTGAAAATAACAATTGTTACCTACTTATTTAAAGGCATGTAAAAGGGTTGGTAACTGTTGCTTTAAAGCAAGCAATGTCACTAGACAGGTCTTATTTTGATGTATTTGTCAACATATTCATGAGGCTTTCTCTGTGTTGTGTTTCGCTTTACCACATGTTTGCTTCTCTCTGCAGTCAGCTGAAGAATGACTTCTCCTCCGTTTGCGGTTTGGTGCAGGAGGAGCTGGCTTTGTTTGGGGGGGGGCCAACGTGGGGTCCTGACGGGGAACAGCAAATGACTGGTTGTGGACCTAGAAAACGATATCTCAGTTACTTGGATGCACACACAGACACACACGTACACACACGTACACACACGCGTGCGTACACACACACACACACACGTACACACACCTGTTCTTCTGTGAGGCGCAGTGTCCTTGCCCTGCACCACTCCTCTGGGTGAAATGTAGCGCACTGATGTCTCTTCCAGGTACTTGTCCACAGGGTCCGGGCACACTGATGAAAGCAGATGATTTGAAATTGCAGGACTTATCATCACACAAAAAGCAGAGACATTTTGGCCCAAAAACTACATTTTAGTGGTGCCATGACGACATAAGTAGTCACTTCAGACAAGTACAAACCAACATGTTTGTTAAGTTATTTATAGTCAAATGTTACGCACAAGACAGTAAGATTATTCAACTTTTTGAAACCAATAACAATAAGGTGCCATATCCTCCATAATTACTAGGGATGGGAATTTGAAAGCAAATGTATATTAGAATATTCAAACCCCCAAAAAACGGTTAACCGAAATGTACATATCCTATATAAAAAAAACATTCTAAAACTTTTTTTCCAAAAACATTTTTGCAATAATTTTTGGAAAAAAATAAATACATGTTCAAATAAGTGTAGAAACAAGTCAAATGAGTCAAATGTATTGAACTGGTGATCACAGTTTGACAGCTATAGGTCTACAGCTTTCATGTGTGGAGGCGATTCACAATCAGGCCAGCTGTAGAGAAGACCCTCTCAGCTGGAACGGAGGTTGCGGGTATAGCAAGGTATAGCATTCACACCGCACTCACTAACCTGGTCGAAATATTTCCACACATTACTCCTTTTTGACGCCATGTCTGTGTAGGACTCTTCTTGGAGTGTAAATAATTACCGGACTATGACTGGTAAAATATGTTGAATACCGGCAAAACTAAATCTCTCCTGTCAAAATGTCTATGTACTTTGCCGCCACACACGGTTGCCAAGCAGCGCTTTTTGTTGTTTAGGCTGGCCACTCATGTGTCGTGAGTGTTGACAGGGGGCGGGGGAGCACGCTCATGAACTGTTAGCGCCGGAACCTCGCAACGGCTGCGGGGCGCATTTGCGCCTAAGATGAGGTTTGAGTCTGCGTGATCTGCGTGTAGGGAGGGGCAGCAGCCATATCATTAGCTAGAACTAGATAGATCTGATGGATTTGGACATAAACGTGAGTGAAGTATAACCGGACGAGAGAGAGAGAGAGAGATCAGCACCTGCAGCTCTGCCCGCTGTGAGGACCGGTGAGGGGGCAAAACACACCTTTAGACCTAACACACTTAGCTATGGCGCTGTCGTATACATTGAATTATTCAATTTGATAATATGTAATCAACTTAGGAATCCCTCCCAAAAAAAATTTATAAAAAAATTAACTCATATTCGAACACCTGAATAATTTAGAATATTCGATTAATCGTTCCCATCCCTAATAATTACTACTTGTTCTTTTTTCTGATTGCTTTCCAGCATCTACACTGCAAGCCTTGTTGGCAAAGCAGAATCGCAAGACCTCACATGTCCCTGTGGACAAGTATGAAAAACCCTCACAAAATATGTGGCCTACAGACTACAAACATGAACATGGAATACAGTTTACTAAGGTAACTTAGGCAAAGGCTAAATACAAGCAACAAACACTAGAGCACACTTTCAAAAGGAAAGGAGAAATGTACAATTGTTTCTCCCAATCCTGTATTTTGGAGTTTAAAATACACCTTCATTTCCACTGATATGTATTTGAAGTCTTGTATGATCATAGTATTTACATTGCATTACTCACCAGACTGCCGTTTCCGGAGTGTGACGTACGGCAATAGGTCATGGCGTGTGATGATCCTTAGAAGCTGTAGAACATGTCGAAAGTTGGTTTCATCACAGCGACCCTGGCGTTCAAGGGCCAGCAGGAAATCCTTTCCACTCCTGATGCCACCTCGCTCATACTCATCAATCACGTCAACAAAAAGGAATGACAGTACCCTGACATCACGATGGGTAAGCTGTGCTCCAACTATGTCAAACATGCGGTGGAGTGAGTAGAGCCCATGGGAGTTGTCCACTGCTTCCTCAGGCCATGGCTCCAAGCTTCCATCTCTTCTGGAGAAGCTGGACTTGGTGCAGGAGGCCGAAACGTTTCTGCTGGCTCCCTCCCCGCTGGCTGCTGCAACACCAGAGCAGCCCGCCCTGCCGCACAGGGCTCTGTGATCCAGAGGCCTGGCAGTGGCACTGCTCTGACTTGAGTCCAGCGGATTGCCCTGAATGTGATGCCGGGCCTGCTGAGCAGAGGAGTTGTGAGCAAGCTGGGGAGGAATGGCAGCACTGGGAACCTGTTGCTGCTGTGATGTCATCTCAGGGCCCAACGATGATACGGGATGTTGGAATCCCAACAGCCCCTGCTGTCTTTGAACGCTCCAGTGGACGAGCTGTACAGAGAGGGGGGAGTTCAGAGAACTGTTACCATGGGTGGACGTCATCATTTATCAATAACAGTATACAGCTGCAAAAACATACCTGGTTTCCCAAGGCTCTATTAGGTGCATTCAGCATTTATGATTATTCTTTCATGAAATAAAGATTCAGATAAATGGAACACAATCTCAACATAATGCAGAGATGGGCAACTTGTTCATGAAGGACACAATTGTTAAGTCCAGGATTGGTAACAGGGTCCTGGTATTGTGCAGCAGGCTTTCCTTGCAAACTGAACTTCACACTGACTAAATCTAGGTTCTAACAATACTCATTCCTCTGAGGTTATTTTCTAAATGAAAGACTTAAAGGGCCCATGTCATGCTTTTCCGGTTATTACCCGTCCCCTTGTGTGTTATGAAGGTTTTTCTGCATGGAAACACAGAAAGACCTGTCTGTGCTGCCCCAGAACGCCTCGTTGGACATTTCTCTTTTTCCATTGTTTGCTTCCTGGGTTCTGTGACGTGTGAACACCCAAATCAACAACAAATGACCGGATTGGCCCAAATGGACCAATCCGCGGAGCACCTCACACACCAGGACCCCTTGGCTAACTAACAGGGAGTCCCATTGACTTGCATAGAGCTCCCTGAACGCTGGTAATAGACGAGTTGGGATGGCGGAGAAATGCTCTCCGCAGACTCATTCTCACAGCGTTATAAACCTTTTTCTTACTCAATATCAAGCCACACTTATTGTTTTTACTTCGGCTGTGAGTGTTTGTGTGCTCAGGATGAGTTTCGCTTGTTCTAGCTGTATCGCCGACCCGGAAACCTGTCCGCTCCTCGCAGCAGCTCGCAGCAACGAGCCTCGCAACGTCCCGACCAATCAGAGCACACTGGGCTCACAGGGAGGGGGGGGCAGGAGCTCCAACAAGCCATTTAGGACAGAGAGTGAATACACATACTTTACAGAGATGCTGTATGAGAAACCAATGTGAGTTTGGAACATTGCACGATTTAAATCTATTCTAGTAGACCTCAACAATGGAAATATGATCAGTAGAAATGGCCATGACATGGGACCTTTAATTGTTTAATTCATCTCTTTTAACCCTAAAAGTGTTTCTATCCGTGATATTTTTTTTGAAGGTAAGAATTACATCTGTTGCAGAGACCTGGTGCAGCCTAGCTCACTCCCACAATGCCATGGTGTGTAGGTAAACTCAAAAGAGCCATCATTTAATTATTATTATATTTACTTATTTTGTATGTACTATTCATAATAGTCAAAACGTCTTCAGGGAGAAGGGCTGTCACGTCCCTGTCATATAAACTGCACGACTTCTGTTTTTGACTTTATGACCGTTTGGTTGAGGGGACACTGAAGGAACAATTAACACAAACAAAAGTAAAATGAATGATAATGGCTGTTTTGACTAAAATGTTCAGCTAAAGCAAATTTAGCGAGTTAAACGTTTAGTCGTGTTCAACGCTTCTGCCAATGAAAAAACTCCTTATATTATTGATATTGTTAGACCAAACAACACACTTGTCAGCAGGACAAATAATAAGCTAGAAACGAGCTGCGCGCAGAGCGGAAGTTAGCAATCAAGCTAACGATATTTTTTTTGTAATGGTTAACAAATGAAAGACGTCAACTACGTGTGGTCGCTAAAAAAACGCACGGGGAACTGCTGCTGGTCCGTGTTATGCTTTTGCGACTAACGGTAAATAACTCAAGACTTTAGCCCCTGAGTGTGGCTCTGGGTTTGTTTTGACTGCTCATGGCTAGCCTTAGTTCACGTTGGCCGCCAGCGTGCAGCACTGCCAAGACTAACTTGTGTAAAGCTGTGTGTAAAGTTAAGTTAAAACAGAAAACAAAAACATTATTCAACGACAAATGTCCATTACCTCCTGTTTTGTGGATACTGTTGACGAGCCCGACAATCTCACAGTTCGTTTGGTAGCGAAGGCGAAGTTAGCATCCCAGTGTTCATAGCAGAGCTTCAGAACACGGTTCCGTTTCACCGTTTTGATAAACTACACGATAAATGCTCGATATATGTGTCCAGTCTGTTTCTGGGGGCTTATTTTAGGCCGGACATAAAAGTTTGTTGATTGTTTTTGGTCCTCAGACCGATATAGTGGAAAAACAAGCAGACTTGTTCTTCAGCTAAAATGAAAGAACTTCCAGTTCACAGCGCCCTTCTTCTTCTTTTGTTTTTATGGCGGCGACTAAACGGGATGGCCGCCACCTACTGTACCGGAGTGTGTACAGACAAGACTGTTGAAGTTAAACATGTATTGTTCAAATATTTAACATTTAAAGCCGTTTCAATCTGAAAATGTTTTTCCCCAATCTCTATCAATCATTTTTAGTAGAGGAACACCCCTAAAAAGGGCTTTAGTTTTCAAGATACCCCTACCTGAGGTAGAACAAAGCACAAACATGTTTTGAAGGGGGGCCTTTTGTTCTTATCCCATATATATCTGGAAATACTGATCAAAATGTCACAACATTTGAATTAGATGTTCAAAGAGAGGTAGGCCTATAGCATTCAATAAAGACAATGATATCGATATCTCTTAGCATCTTTGTAATATTAACACTTAATGAATCATAGGCGGAAATGCAAAAGGTATGTTTATATTTTTCTGTTATTTTTTAACTAAAGAGCTCAATCACAGAAAAATGTAAGTTATATTTACCAGAGACTGCTATGCTCTCATAAAAATAGTTATCTTTGACTATTCATTTCAGGCTCTGCTGTCACCAGCCTCTAACAGCTAACCTGCAGCCGCCAGAATGGGGCCCTATGGGTACCTGTGTGAAGGGAAGGACACAAAGCATAGATGAAGAGATCCAGAAATATTATATAACTACATTTATTATATATAAGAATGATATTTATTATTTTCGTTATTATGATTATGTCAAACTTTGTCATTCTTAACCCTTGTGCCCTCCTCGGGCATTTTTGTAAATGTTTGTGTGTTACAGCTTTTGGCATGGATTTTTGTAAGAAGTCTTCTTTTGAGTCAAATTTTTGAAATCCAATGTCGTTTACTCTTACATGTTTTGTATACTAAATGTAAAGACCACGCTCTTGAATAAAGATATGGAATAACCCCCATACAGGATGTCCTCTGTCAATCTCTCTTGGCCCACAACATCCTCCACACTACCATCAACGTTTGCAAAAAGTTGTAGAAATACATTACTCTCATTTGACAGAGATAACACAGAAATTCGCTAGTGAAAAACTAGTATAATACAGAAAATATATTTCATAAAAAAGTTCAAGGTAAAAATGTGATAATGCACACACAGCCTAGATTAAATTGGACTCAATTTCTATAGGTTAACCAACCATGTAGTGGTCCGGCACCTCTGACTGGTAGCGAGCTTCTCTCCCAAACATGAGAAAATAGGGAGAATATTTTGTGGTCATCGTTTTTTTTGCCAAAGACCAAACATTATTGCATCAAGGTGCTCATCCCAAGTCTCTGGCCTCTGTCCGACCAATTAGCTGAGTGTTCTGAAAAAAAACGATCAGATGAGATTGAAGTATAATTCTGACATGTAGCCACAGAGGTTTCTATAACATTCTATTTCTTACGGTGGCCCTGAAATGCAAGACACCACAGCATTTCAGAAAACGCTACAGCATTTCACAAAACGCCACAGCATTTCAGAAAACGCCACAGCATTTCAGAAAATACAACAGCATTTCAGAAAACACCATAGCATTTCAGAAAACACCATTTCAGAAAACACCACAGCATTTCAGAAAACACCACAGCATTTCACATTGGACGGAAAGGGTATTACTTTAGAGAGAACACTTCTTGTTTGTGATTGGACAGAGCCAGCCAGTGAAGCACTGCTGTGATTGGTTGTTTTTGCTGCCAGTCAAGAAATGACGCTTCGTGATTGGTCAATACCCGACAGCGAACTATGTCCCAACACATCAGCTGTTAGCACACACTCAGAGCTCCTCATATCTGTTCAGAAACTGGACACAAGTTAAACATGTACAAACCTCAGACTGTCTGTGTCATGGTGAATACAGTCGCTGCTTTATTTATGTCTGTATGACGTTGTTGTGAGTGTGGACGGAGCAGCAATAGGTTAGTTTAGCCTGATGGATCCGATTCCATTCAGAAAAAACACGCATTTTAAAAGCTTTTCACCTGCCGTCTTGTTTGCAGACTTGTTAAAGCGTTAATTCATGGGTTTTACTAACCGTTATCAGTATGTAGTTGCTTCGACATCACTTTGAAACGTGTATTACAATTAAATTACGGTCAAATATGTTCATTTTGTTGTAGTTGGTATCTCCCATAGGATTTACATGGAGATACGCCCCGCCCCCTCTCCAGCGCCTCTTGTTTGAATGACAGGAGCAAACACAGCTGACAGCCGCGGTGAAACTGAGCGATTAGAGCGATGCGAATATTGGGTAGTCTACCATAGTATTTTCATGGAGATAAGCCCCTTAAAAATGATGAATGAATAAAGCATTAATTCTGTGTTTACTCCTGTCATTCAAACAAGACGCTGGAGAGGGCGTTTTCTGAAATGCTGTGGTGTTTTGTGAAATGCTGTGGTGTCTTGCACTTCAGGGCCACCGTACCCATGGATGCACAATAACAACGGACCATATCGCCTTACTGCCAGCCCACGGAGCTGTAATAATGGATATATTGCACATGTTTGCTGTAATTCATAATTTGTAAAATATTATACTACATGGGCTTTATGATCGTTTGGTTTGGATTTATGTTATATTAAATAAAGTTAATATTACCGACGTAGATTAACGTTCCTGTAGCTTCTTATTGCACTTGCAATTGTTTTAGTTACTTGTGGGCTACTTAACATGAATAATCACAGTTACTATCCTTTTACTCCATCACATTTCAAAAATAAATAGGCTATTGTTATTTTAACTCCACCACAGTAATCCATCATCAGCTTTACTTTTTAGATAAAGTTTTAACTCACAATTGATCATAACAGGCTTCAACATATACATTTGTATATATTACCAAGTGGTTTCATGTACAACCCACACAAGTATCATGCTAAATGAAGCTCTGTTGCTTGGATATCACTAGATCCTGATGTCAGCGTAATATAAAAGTACATAACGATTGATGTGTAATTTAGCATAATTTACTAGCTAGCCGCTAGCTGCTAACTGCCGCCTCGTTAATATAAATCCAGTACCATGCTGTCATGAACGCGCGGTGCTGTTACGTGTACGCAAATTCACGTGCTTAATGTGAACGAGCCTTTTGGGCGGCGTGGTTAAAGTTGCGCATGCTCTATGAGTGCACATACGGGTACTTCTCAGGCATGCCGGGTAATCTGTGACGTTTCGCTCTCTCAAAGGTTGGGCCATTTTGTCATCATGCGCCATTGAGCAACTCTCATAGGAATTAATGAGGCCCCGCCTCCCACGCTGTATCCAGTTCTTATTATACATCCATGGCGCTGACGAGCCGTGGGGCCGCCATCTTGGACCGGTCACCCGCTCCACTCAGTGTAATCTGTCTGGCAGGCGCAATGAAGTGTCAGTGCATTTAATCAATCATAACTCGCTGAATACAAAACTGATTTTCACAGGGGGGGGGTTTCTGCAAACGTCATATATGTAGGCATGATACCGGACACATGATTCGGTGTATTTTAATATTCATAGTAGGCTTAACAGCAATAGAATATTCTGGTATTTGATAGCCTATATGTTATGTATGATAGGTATTTTGCAAAAGACACACAATATATAATATAGGCTAATATATACACACACACAAACATATAAAAAAACACTAATGGTCTATATGATAGAGAAGCAGATTGTGTAGGCCTACTACTCAGCTATTTTAATAAGTTGAAAAATGAAGAAACAATAATACATTATACATAGACAGAAGTTATATATCAGTAAAAATGAATATCTATATCTATGTCAGAAAAAATGAAAATCTACATCTATATCTATATAAAAAATGTAAATGAAGAACATGACACCACCCCGCCCCAAACCATATTTACACAAAGTTGCTCATGAAAGTGTAAATGCGCTAAAAGCCCTGAAAGAGGACTGTTTTGCAAAGCTTATTTCTCGTGCTCCCTTTCTGCAGGTCAAGAGAGGTGAGTTTGGCAATGTGGTGTAGTCTTATTTTCAGAAACACAGACACAACTAATGACAACAAGTTGGAATAATGGTTGTCGATGCCAAACTGCGTCTCCTCAATGTGTTCCCCAAGCTGAAAAACATCCTCCGTTCCAATCTCCTCCCGCACGATGTAGGTGACTGTCGACACCTTTGGAGCTTGCCTTGTTGAAGCTTGGCGAATCACCCTCTCTGCAGCTCTCAGCACCTTCACTGTGCCTTGTGATGTAGACCAGCGCATTTTCCACCAGACCACCAAACCGAGTGGGAAGATAGCTGTGGTCACACACAACAGCCGAAATGTTGGCGAATGGAGATGGGTGCTCTTCAGCAGTTTCAGCAGAGGACATCTCTACCGCAGACAGGGACACAGTGTGATCTTGGGCTGCCACATTGCCTGTCTCACTATGAAACACCACATCGAACCATCAGACGGCAGAAGATGGCCTGGAACTGGCGTGCAGATGGATTGTTATTCCAGCCACCTTGTATGGAAAACAGGCACACAATACATACATTACTCATCATAAGTCATTTTCAGAATGTATTGCAATTAAAAGAACATCAACGCTACCTGACGCTCTGATGGAATTAAATAGGAGCTCCAAGTGATCCTGGCTGAACCTGTAGGTGAGGACATACCGCTGAACTTGGAGCAGTTCAGGAATCATCAGCATCAACGTGTCGATGTTAATGACAAATCCGATGACTGACAAGTACCTGCAAAAGAAAAACATTTTATTACTCTGATCATGGCAAAACATATACAGTATACTTGTAGGACACTTAGCTAACTAGGAACAATGTAATTGCAGAACTGGGATAACTTGAGAACAAGAACACATGCAAGAACACATGCAATACATACCATTTTGACACCTACATGTGCTTGATGTTGTGTAATACGTACCATTAGAAGCATCTGGGACCTCAAAAACACTGAATACAAGATCATTCAAATAGAAACAAAACTGCAGATTGAAAAACATTGAAACAAGAGAAAATCATTTCAACATACATACCCTCCTTCTGACACCTGCAAAACTTGATGTTGTGGAATACATACTATTTAGAAGCATCTGGGACCTCAAAAACAATGAATACAAGATCATTCCAACAAACAAAACTGAACACAGAAAAACATTGAAATAAAAGAGCATCATGTAAGCAGACCAAACTAAAGGAAAACACATTGTAACAGTAGCATCATATGAACCTGATGTAGAGAACAGAGCATCTTATGAACTCGATGCATAACGGAACAGAGTATCGTTGAACTCATGTCGTGAACTTTTCTGCATGAATAACAAGCACTATTTGATTAGACCTCTTAGATCGGTGAAGTGGTGTTCCATCTTTTGTCCCCAAAGTGAGCAAGTACTCCCTGGCTCTTGACAAAAATGCTTTCCTCTCTATCCAATTCAAAGCACCCAAGGGAGATTTGAATCCTTTGGCACGAGGATTGCGTCCATTCATCGTGTCAAACAGCCTGTCAATAATCTATAAAGAAATATCGGCATCTAAATCACTATCATTACAGTGTTTCATTAGGTATCAGATAGTTGTAATCAATACTCATCTATTCAAGATATAAAGAGAACAGAGTACTTATTTCTAAGCTGTATGTTCAACATGCAAACTTAGTATTTGCTTGACTTCCTTCTCTCCATAGGCCTGCTTTGTGCTACAGCACATTTCACACAGAGCTTTACCACTCTAAAATGTGTGAAGGTATGTGTAAGGTTATATACACACTTTTGTATTTATGAATATGCAATATCACGGTTCATGAAAATATTTGCATGTTGAACTTAGAGAATTATCAACAAATTGTTCCTGATGCTCAAATCACATTTTGATCAATTATTTAAAAACAAACACGTACTTGGTTCTATAATCACTAACTGTTTACCTCAATGAATTCTGCCGTTGCCTCAGTCTTTAAACTGAGAGTACCTAAGATCCCTCATTGTGCGGAGAGCAACTGACACGGAGCGACTCAGTGTTTGTGCAGCCAGGGACACCCTCCTCTTGTGGTTCTCAAAGTAGACATGTTTGTCTGTGATTTGATTGGCAGCATGCAGTCCGTCTTTTTTTTGCACCTCATTGAGATGATTGATGAACCTCCACTTGATCTGTCCGGTGGTCGTTGCAATTGGACTGTTTGCCTGCAGAGAAACATTCAGTCACTGCTCAAACAAGTACAAACAGCAACATGTTGATCATCACGTCCAGCCATAACTGTGCAAATGAACAGACAACAATATTTAGATACAACTTTTAGCAGCAGAGACATAACTTGTACAAATAGGTCTACAACAATCATCATTTACCTGCAACATATTACGTGCCAACTTCAGCATGTGGCATGCCAACCCAGTCTCACGACATTTCGTGTTCACCAACACGATTTTTAATCTATTGATTCGTGTTCACCAACACGATTTGCCCCTTTTTTTTCGTGTTGCACAGCACGATTTTAAAAGCAATGTATTTCTACTGCCTGCAGCACGTCTTTTTCTCCGGTCGGGTCGTGGAAGATCGAAAGCTGTGTGGTTCATAAAAACATGTTCTTACTCAATATCAAGCCACAATTATTGCTTTTATTTGAAATCGTATAATTTTGGACTTTTGTTGCCGTCTGTGAGGAAAATAAATGGGGCTCAGAGCCTCAGGATACTGAAATCTGTATTTTTAAATATTTTTTTCCTTCTAATTCGTTATTCTTTTCAAAATAACACACTGTTATTTACTCACCAATAACACACAATTATCCTTGCTTTTATTTATTGGTTTAATTCCATAATATCGGGCTTTTTTGGCGTACGTCAGGAACTGAATTTCAAAATAAAAATAACCGGAAACAGACGTAGGCATTTCGAGCGATTACCCAAGATCCTCAGCTATGGTTTTAAGCTCGCTTATTGGATGTTTTAGCCGCAATGCATGCTGGGATTTGGTGTTTATATGATATGAAATCCGGAAAACATTTTAAAAGATCACTTTGACACAACTAGAGTATGGCCCACATTCTTTCTTATAGTCATCACCTGTCAAAGCCACTGCCAGCATCATGTGTGTGTGTGTGTGTGTGTGTGTGTGTGTGTGTGTGTGTGTGTGTGTGTGTGCGTGTGTGTGTGTGTGTGTGTGTGTGTGTGTGTGTGTGTGTGTGTGTGTGTGTGTGTGTGTGTGTGTGTGTGTGTGTGTGTGTTGTGTGAGTGTGCCAGGAATGCATGTTCAACATGTCTTCAATTGTGTGTGTATGGGTTTATTTGTGAGTGTGTTTAATATGAGTGGCAGCAAACAAGAGAGATTTTACTTTGTCTAGGACCATTATGATATGATGTTGAAAATAGAAATACTTACATCATTAGGCTGAGGTTGTGAGTGTGAGGTTGAAGCTTCTGGGTCGTCCTGAGGGGCCACAGACAGGCTCTCTTCAGCTTTTCTGGAAGTAGACGTAGTCCTGCCCTTTTCCGGCTAAAATGAAGAAGCATAATACTTGAAAAGAATATATACATATCACACGCACACACAGGGATAGGTATTTCACCCTGCCCTGTTATTGATAATAGAGTATTTACATTTATGAATGCTAATAGCCTTATGATGATACACCTACTCTTTGGAGGTGAACCGGGAAGCTGAAGATGGAGGGAATAACACCATCTCTGAGTCGGACAATCTGTCCTGTCCTGTCAAACTCGTCCTGCTTAAAATGCTCACTGCAAATCACGGATGACTCGCTTGCAGTGAACCCTTCCCTCCTCAAAGCAACTTCCCACTTCTTCCTCATATCTTTGTCTTTGGCAAACCTTCAAAAATAAAAACGGGAGATTTGAGAGTCAACACAACATATTTTTAAGAAGTAGGTCAAGCTTATTTTCTTCATTCTTCTTCCTAGATAGATTAGATTAGATTTTACTTTATTCATCCACAACTGGGGAAATGCACTTGTTACAGCAGCATATGATTTATAAAGTCTCAGTTGGCCATAAACATAATGTTTGCTGGCTACGATTTCGCTGGCGGACATCAATACAGTACAATAATATTCTATTTACAAAATACAACCAATAATAATGTTGAATCTTACTTGTGAAAAGTAATCCCCCGACCCCTGTTCGCAATCGTCCGCCGATTTGCACAGCAATACGCGTCGCACAGTGCTCTGGCATCTTGAAACCTCTGCTGTCTATGGGTAGAATGTCTGTACAATATGGGTAGGATGACCGGTCCAAGATGGCGGCCGTATTTCTTGCGCCCCAGCAGCCAATGCGGCGTCTTTACACAACTGTAAAGGAAAGTAAAACTATACTTACCTTCAAAACCTCTCTCAAAGAGCACCTTCGGGGGAGAGCATTGCAAAACTGGCCCCGGTAATGGTACAAATCTCAACCTGTCGTACAATGGACAGCTTCCCCCCCCATCTATGTATATACTCGCATTTTAGACTCTGTTACTAACTGTATATCTGTAGACTTGGTATGTCTTAAATGTCCAGTTAGGATGTATTAGAACGAAATCTAAAATGAAAATTGTAAATAAGCAATCTGTATGTAAAAAACCACCTGTATGTAAATTGTAAATAAGCCATCTGTATGTCAAATACGTCTTATATGTCTTAAATGATATGATGAATTGGAAATGGGGGACCCTGATGTAAACAAGACGAAAGTCTTTCTCTGGTCTGCATCCCCTTAACAATTGTATGTTTTGAGCTGTACTGTACTGTACCCAATATACAAGCTGTTAATAAACTTTTCAATCAATCAATCAATCAGTCTACTCTTTATATGTCTATGATTGGGACGCTACTCAAGATGGCGCAGACAAATCAACTTCCGGTGAGACCGAGACCGAGGAGCGAGGAAATGAAAAATAAGAGAAGTGAAACGCAGCCAAAGAGAGAGGGACTAAAGGGCGACAGTATGTCATCCAGTTTTTCAAGAGAAAAGGTGGGTGTGGTCCATGAGTGGTGGAAATTAGTCTGTTAGCTAAGCGTAGTCCATTGTAAATAATAATTGTAATGTTTTGCTGACATTAAAGGTAGGGAAAGTTTGAGAAACCGACTCGAGATACACTTTTTGTTATATTCCATGGAATGCTCTTAACATCCCGATAGCAATGAATATATAAAGTGCTTTGACTAAAAATCCATAAAAAAATGTCATCTGTGGAAGCTGTAAAAAGCACGACCAATCATCTGAGCCGGCCCAGCTAAAATAACTGGATGGCCTACCTGCCTGTCAGCCTTCCATCTGTGTTGGAGGAGGGGCTCTGTAAGGAAGTGGCAGATTTGTTCCTGTTGTGTATTTTCAAATTGAAACATTTCTAAATTACCTACCCCACCTTTAAGTACTGTTAATATCTTCACAGAAAATGTAGAGGTTTTTCATTTTTTTTCCTCTTTTAGCTGACATTTAATAAATGCAGGTACATTTTTAGCAGCTATTCATACTACATCAGTTGTCCCTCCCCCTGGTGCCAGGACCAACAGATCCATCTTTAGGCTCCGCAGCCCTGACCCCCCATAAGGCTTTGCAGTCTTGCCATGCTGTCCATTGAAAGCCAGTTGGCTAGAAAGCTGGACTTCAAGGACTTGATCAGTGACTTTGCCTGTAAGAAGGCTAGGCGCTGGGCTCTTGGTGAGTAAGGCTGAGCCAGGGCTCGTAATAACTGTTAAAGGGCAAGGCTATGGTAACGATATTGGATCCACAGAAGATGCATGATGAGAAAAAGACTGAGAACAGGTAATAGGCTCTGATTTAGCACCACCATCAGGCCTTTTCATTTCCATTTCCGTTTTGTTGTCCGTTTACACTTTAATGCCCGCTTATTTTGTAGTTGGTATGTATATTTAATTTAAAAAATCTGCTGCTTATGTTATTGTTTTTGTTATAAATGATAATATTGGTGTTAATGTTCATTTTATTTTAATTTAAGAGGTCATGTATATTTAAATTAGATTTATTTAGATTTATGAATGTTCCATTCAAAAATGTTATTAAAAAGGCATGTACTCCATAAAAGATGACTATTGAGGTCTATTGTCAGGAATGTTAGTCTTATATCAAATAGTGAATTCTAGTGCAGTAGAATGTTGCCCGTCTGCACAGTGTTATATTTTCACAGCTCAGTGTCAGTAAATATTGTGCAGTTAGTATTGCACTACAAGATAGATGCAAGCCTGTACAGGTAGAGTTATTTAAAGCATAAATGAGTCGGTTGGGTTGTGGAGGTGTGGTTACAGCAATTGTGCTTGGTTGGTGGCCCAATGTGATATCTTTTCATGGGGCCCAAAATCCCTGGCGGCGCCCCTGGATATGCGTTTATAGAGAATACAAGTAATCTTTGCATAACTTTATTTCACTGACTTCCGGTTTGTACTGTGTCGGCAAATCCAGTGTCCAGCTTGTCGCTGTGTGACAACGTCATGTTTGTTGCATACCTGCAAGATTTACCTGTGACAAATGTCAGCGATGTGAACAGAACTGTCGCCCTACTTTCACCTGCACCCAGCAGCAAGCGGGAGAACGATATATCATACAGTTCACACAGTAATGGAACCGTTGTTAAGCATTATTTTGTCCAACTAGTCTCTACATTATGAATTTGATGTTTGTCTAAACTGCTAAGAAGCTGACAGCTGAGTTAGAACAGAAAGACATGCAGGCCATAATCACAATCAAGAATAAAATAAATTATCTTGGAATAGTGTAAAATAAATTGAAATGGACTCACTCAATTTTAGCATTTTAGTTTGCTCACTTCTTCACATGATTTCATCATTTAAAGTATCACATCAGCTGGACATTCATTGAACAATCTCATCTCTGATCATCCATCTCTGTTTAAACTAACTCATCATTGTCATCAACATCTGTATACGGGGGTGGGTCGCAGTGGCGCCTCCAGAAATTGTTCATAGGGGTGGCCAAATGGGGCCACTGAAAATCTTGGGGTGGCCCACCAAAACCAAGCATTTAATTGTTGTAAAAGTATAGACTAGATGAAAACAATGGCAAAGAGAATCACCTACTGATATACTTTGGTTTCTTATTTTACATTTTCTGATACTATTCATCTGAAGTGAATATAATACGGATAGTTAACATTTGACTTCAAACAACATTTAAAAGCACCTTGTTTTGTGTTATGTATACATGTGTTGGTGATTTATTGTTTTACATGCTAGTTGTTCTTTCCTTTTTAAAAGACAAATAAAGCTTAATTTAAATAAGTTCCTTTATTGCAAGGCACAAAATGTTCAGCATTCTCAACACATACAATACACAACAGCAACACAACATGTTCTTCAGTTATATTATGTCTCTAGGTTATAAATAGTTTTAGACTGAACAAAGCTGTTTGTGTCACACTGGGATCAAAGATGATTGACATGACTTTATTAAATCAAGTTTTAAAACATGACTATTTTATTTCAACAGGACCCAAAAACACAAGGGGTATAAAATGGTAAATACATACTGTGATTGAACACAAACACCATCTATTATTGACCTTTATAGCAAATTCAAAACATTATAAATGATACAAAACACCACCTTTTAGTATTAGACAGAAAATAGGTGACGAGACATATTTATATGTTTTTAGATGAGGCCACTGTGGTGAGAGTAATACATATAGCTTGTATTCCATTTGTTTTGAAAATGTATATTTATACTTTATAAACAAACTGGTTACCCTTTTTTGAAATTAGCATACAGAACATTATGAAAACAAACTTGACTAATGGTCGGCTCATAACCTCAGAACACAGAAGAGGAAAAACTGCATAGATTCTCGTTTCATTTTGAAGGAGCTGCAGACCTAAAGTGTGAAGAAGACTTTAATGATTATAAAGGTCACAATCACATTAATACAACTGTACTTAGGTTTTAGTTTCACTTTTACAACACAGAGTTCCACATGCACTTTCTAGCATCTCCTCACTAGCCCTATGCTGCTGCTCCCCTGCCAGCTCTGTCTCTTACTCATCTTCTTCTTAAAATAAGAAGAGATGTCTGTTGACTTTCTCTTCATTTTCTGCAAATTGACATTACACACAGCAGTGATTAATAGTAGCCTACGCATTACGCCAGCCCAGCATACCGACATCAGCTAACGTTAGCTTAGCAAGCTAAACTAACGCTAACTAGGATAGCCGCCAAAGTGTGTTTACAGTACACACTGACTCAGTTTGTTTTGTATTTTTCTGGAGAAGGGTTTGCCTCTCTATTCAATACACTGTGTGAGATACAGGGTTACAGTTGGTACACCTACCGTGTTTTATAAATAAAGGACATTTGGAAAAAGACTGTGTCCATTATCATTTTTACACTTTAACAATGCCCAATCCCTTGAACAGTAAAGCATTACACTCCGAATAGTTCTTTTACAATGTTTTTATTTTGTACAGAGTGTAAAATGAATGTAATTCTGTTGCTCTGAAACGGTTTTTGATCCTGACTGAAAATGCATCTTAAAAAAACTTCCATTAATTTCTCTTCCAATTATAAGTCAAAAGAAAAATGTCTAATCATGCAATTGAGATTAACTTAATCAAGCATAAGCTATGTAAATATAAAATGATTCACTTTCCATCATTGCCAAATAACTGAAATCATGACACAAATCATACTTTAGTTGTTAAATGTAACAACTATCGGTGCTCAATTAAGTTCTTAATGTATTGGACAGTATTGAGATATATGTCCACTCCGAAACATTCAGATTCTTCCAATGGATCAATGTTGTCTTGCAGTTGCATCATTTCAAGGTCTGAGAGAGGGAAGTTCAGCGTAGGGACATTGACCCCGGTATGATGCTCATTTGTGTATCCACTCTCTTCCGATTGAATCTCTGGTATGAGTAAACCCTAAAAAAGACAAAGTGCGTGTACAAATATTAAAGCAAGCACTGTGCCATTACTACTTCTTATTACAAAATATGTGATCAGGTGAAATAAAGGGGATATGCAATTGTTCTATAATAATAAAAAATGGAGTGATTGTGGAATAATGTTAAGGTAATAGTGTAATATTATAGAAAAGTGTTCTTGCTTGCTCCCAGCAGAGGCTTTTTTAATCCAAGAAGGGGAGTTAGATTATGAATCAGATAACTTATTATACTGTTTGGGTTTTTATTGATTGATAATAAACAAGAGATAGTGATGGTTTTGAAAATTCATAATTTACCTCAGGCTCTGGATCTGCAACAGGATTCAGGTGCTGGCCCACCTGCCACAACTGATTGGGTGTCAGATGTTGCTCTGTCCTGGTGGGATGGTTGGCCCAGGCCTCACTGAACACATCCAGGTTGGCTTGGATGCGTGGCAAGAAAACGTAGTGGCAGCAGAAGATGTGCAGGACATTACTGATGTCAAGCAGGTGTTGTTCCTCAAGAGAGTGCAGGGTGTTGTAAAAGACACCCGTAACACTCATGAACACATCACGCCAGAGGCGTTCAATTCTGTGAGAAGAAAACACAAAGAAATGTTAAACTTAAAAGACAATTCAAACTGTTCACTATGAACAATTTAAAGTTTCCTAGTCATTGAATCAATGGCAATGTCTCAAACTGAAAATTGCATTTATTTAAAAAAATCAACTGACTTGACAGGAGAGTACAAACATAACATTAAGTGAGTTTTCAAAGTTTTAAAATGTCTGCTTGGCTGGTAAATTTCTGTGAAAATGGTCATTTTCTTCTTTGTGAAGGAATGGTCTCAACATGTGCTTATGAAGGTTTGTTAAAGGGAATATTAAGAAGAAGAAATATGCTCATAAGCTTACAAAATTAGGTTTAACTCACCGTTGATTGTGTACGCTTTTCCCTGCAATGAAGCTGTTACTGTCAGTTCCACGAACTGAGAACATTAATTGTGCTACTCCCACATTTTCTCCACCATGATCTCCTCTCACTCTGGAAAATAAATCAAATAATTATGCATAGTTAAAATGTACGTATTTGAAGGTCCAAAAAACGAGGGGTACAATTCCATAATGATCTACATCCATAATGTGATCACAAATGGCTCTCTCTGGACATACATATTTGAGATATCTGGACAGGTCCTTAACTGTAACCCTTAAGAGTTCTCTTTCACTTTATTAAACCTCGAGTTATCTTCCACACCTGAATGAGGGATGGTTCACATCAGCTTGTGAATAGATTATATTTTCATATTTCTGTACAGTACATGAATCTCAGCTGAGGGATAGAAAAATCTGACATGTCGCTTATATATTGTCATATGTGAGGGGCTCACATAGAATTAACAATTGATATGGCTGTGTCCGACAGCACTTTTGTGGCCTAGAAAAGTACCGTTTATAATGGCAATTGTTTTAACTTATATGTTCAGATTGCCTTTTTGAACTAACAGTAAAGCACGACAATATTTGCAATGAATGAGTCCCATCAAAAGTAAAGTGGTCGTCACTGATGCAGCCATTGGAGAGGAACATCTAAATTTGATGGAAAGGTCCGCAATTACACTAATGATTACATATGAAATGATGTGAATACCTCAGAGGAAACCCGTGCTCGTTCACAGCTTCATTGAAGAAACACAAGTGGGTGTCAGCCCGGTTGTTGTCTGCTATCTTCAAGTACATCATCTACACATACAAGTACACATAAAACAACATATTAGTACCTTGATGAATCAGTTTAACTTGAAGCATCTGTCAAATGACAATGTGCAGCATTAAGAGAACAACACACAACAGAATTATTCAATGTATAACAGAATATCATGATAGCTCAGGCAAGCTTCTTGACATGTATTGTGCAGTTACTAGTATAAGTGTTTTCATTATTTCACAAGTTCTTCAAAGTATTTATTTTGAAATTAAGTAAATGCATATTGTTTGATCTGAATCACTTAAAATATAAGGTGACTTTAGAAGTCCATATCGTCTGTTTGGTAAGAGGCGATATGTAATTAACTATAGGTTAGATTGTGTACCTAAAGATCACCACCTGTTGGTACAGAAAATAAACTGAAGCTTAGAAAACTAAAACCATCACATGATGTTCGGCAACATTTTTCAGTTGTTGGTTCTTGACAATAGAATAGTCTTACCTTCCTTGAATAGCCATCTATTCCCCCAAAGATAACAAAGTTGTACCTGTCAATGATAGACAATGATATGATTACATACACAAGAAAGACATTAAAAATAACTAGACATGTCAACTAGACATTAAAAATAATAAAATGAACAGATTACATACAGACAGCATGCAGACAAACCTGATGAGCTTGTGGTTGGTGTCAATGTGCACCATGTACTTAGGGTAAGGAACTGTGTATGTTCTCCTCACCACACATCCCATCCGGGTCATCCTGGCGAGCACACCAACACTGTCCCCTCGATACATGGATGCATAAACCCGTTCCCATTGCACTCTGTGTCCCTTCGCAAGTAGAGCACCTCGGACTACACTGTAGCCAGCATCTGGCATTGCACTTTTTATTGTGGTGATCAATGAATCCAATTCGTCATCAGTGCAGCCACTATATGAAGCAGATATAGAAATGTCATTTTCAGTCATCCGCCTAAATAGCGTTGCTCTAGACACACCCAGGAGTCTGGCGATGCAACTCGATGGCAGTCCCAGTTCAACCAGATGTGTCAGAGCCTCTACTGACACATTCAATCGTGGACGCCCACGTCCACAACATTTTTGCAACTCCAGGGTCACAAATATCTGTTGATTATCTCTCTCTTGCTGGATAAGGCTATTCAGGTCTGCAAGTGCAGACTGTATATTATTCCCTAAATCAACAATGTCACCCAGTGCACTCAATATAACAAAAGCCTGACGGCACGCAAACTGTAGCCCTTCGAGATCAACAGGTGTCCTATCCAAGATGTATGTCAGTCGATCTTGAAGTCTCTGAAGGATTTCACGCTTTACTGATTCCTGGGGGGGAAAGAATAGAAAAGATAGATAAAATATGACCAACAGTGCTCAACGTTCGACCGTTTGTTTACCAACACTGGTTAATCGTATTTAACGTCAGCTCTTAATGTTCAATTCCACCCCATCATTAAACACAATGGAATATATTTTGAATAATAATTTGAGCAGCAAACTTTGGATTAATTCTGTCTAACAGAATGAAATAAGTTAAATAAATGTTTGGCTAATGTTAGAGCATGTAAGGTTATAATCCTAGGTAGTCTATTAGCATATGTTAACTGTGTTGGTTATTCTCGCGTCCAGGAAAGAGAAGCTTAAAAAGGAGACTAAATGGAGTCTCTGAGATTGTTTCAAAATTGGTACTTTAATTAATAAAAAGCGTGGTAAAGTCACAAACAGGATATTGTTCGACAGAAAAGCAGCTGTCTCTGGCTCTCGCTAGCAGAGAAAAGAGACCGAACCCCTCAGGTCTCGCTGTTTATATATCCTCTGCTGGCTCCTCCCTGCGGGCCGGCTCACCACGTTTCAATGTCCGTTGTTACGCATATCAGAGGATACAGACATTGTACATTCAATATATATCTAAACACGCCTTTTCTCCTCCTTAACTCTTTCATGACTTTTTATTTAACACATTCTAAACGCTGTAATCAATACTTCAAAAATACAGGAAATACGTCACAGCAGTTTGGTTTCCGGTCGTGCAACATCATATCATCTCGCTGCTAAATTCACCTCTATAGTAAATAGTATATTAGCCTCATGCTAACCGGAGATGACGGATTTTCAGAATAAAGCTTAACAACTGGTTGTGCACAAGAACTTCTGGTTTTTCAGTATAAAACAGTATTTAAACTGAAGGTATGTTTAAGGTACATTATGCTATCAAAACATTGATTTTAATTTCTAACAGTCCCTCCTTACACACCTAAAAGGTGTGTATAATACTGAAATCAATGAGTTCTTCATCTGAACTCTGCGTAGTACATAACTCGTATAAAAAACATACAATCAAAATGGAATGGTTCGAATAGCCTCAACTTTACAAAAATACAAAAATACTTTGACTGTGTTTAAACATAAAAGTTTTCCCTTGTGCATAACTTCTAGTGTTAACATTCAATATGGCTCTTTAAAATAGCAGCAATGGCTTGGTATTAGAACATTTCTTCCTCCCTCCTTTCACAGAAACCGTTCTCATACCACGCTCAGTGTTAAGGCACTTGTTTTTACAAAGTGAAAAGAAAAGACCCATTTCAGAATAGCAATGATTTATAAAACATGGGATCCATCATATTAGAACAGTGAAAAATAATAAAATGAAATAAACTATCTTGGACCAGTGTAATGTAATAATACAAATAAAAATACACTATCTTGGAATAGTAAATTGAAATGGATTCACTCCATTTTAGCATTTTATTTTGCTCACTTCTTCACATGATTTCATCATTTAAAGAATCACCTCGGCTGGACATTCATTGAACAACCTCATCTCTGAACATCCATATCATTTAACATCATTCAAACTAACTCATCATTTTCATCAACATCTGTATACAGGGGTGGATCGTCCTGTTCTACTAGCATTTGTAACCGTCTCCTCATGAGAAATGTACCCTCCCTCCTTTCATACCATTTAAGGTATGAAAGTAATATGTTCTCTAGAAGAGGCCGTCGTGATCAATCGGTATTTTAGGACATGGAATTAATGCAACATCTAGGCCTCCCCTGGGCGCCCCTATGCTATCCTTGTACCCTGGAGCCTAAACTCCCCCTGGGACTAGTCTCTTAGCCCTACTGGCTTTGGGTGGTCTTTTCTAATGATGTGATAAAGTCCCTAAAATGGTGTGAAAACCGATGGAATATCACTAACGCATTATACTAATTTATTTTCAATTCTGGTCTACTTAAATAACTATGCTGACCCCTTTTACAGTGTGTGGAAACTTGGGTGTCCGAGCATGTGATAATTAGTTCAATTTAGGAATGTTCACTTATGGCAGATATGTTTCTCCTTTTAAATAACATCTCTAAATGTCAGGTCATCACTGATTACATGGATGAGCATTAGGAGGTGGTGGCACTTGTCTTTTAAAACTCATACTCTGGTGCCGTGCGCTCCCTCTGAAGCTGCAAGTAAGATTTAAAACATCTGCAGGGTGGGTTGAGCAATCCCTTCTCCCTGAACGATATTTGTTGTCAAAAATATGCACCATTAAAATGAGTGATCCAAGGCCCCGCATGTATTACTCCCAATTATACTAGTTTTTCAAAATTAAAATGTTCAATCTCTCTTTGCTAGTGTCTTTTTAAAACTCTACATCTTGGACGACAAACAAATGTTGTTTCCACCTTAACAGTTCTCCTATGGTAATAAACATGCTACAATGGTGAAACCAATACTCTAGATTGGAATACTTTCTTTGGCTTGGTTATATTTTCCATTCAAATAAAGATTTGCCTGCTATCTATATTGTAACAAATTAAATCTTCCCCAAATTCTCACATGAATAAGAATCTCTATAAGAATAATTTGTTTATATTATGAAAAGATTGAATAATATGTTCTACCCTCAGTGTGTTTTTAGGATTATTTTCTAATAAGTGTGTTTATGTGTAAACTCACTCACTCCCGTGTTCCTTCTCTCCCCCTCTGGTTGTCAAGCCACGACCCCCTCAGGTTCTGCTGGCCCATGCCAACTCCTCTGGTTCTGTCCTCTCCTCCGTCCTGTCTTCTCCTCAGTCCATCCGCACTTGGATCTTCCCGCTGTAACTCTTTTCAGTGGCCCAACTGCTTTGCATTTCATCTCCTCCTTTTCAGTCTCTACGCTGTTGCATGGAGTGGTGTATTCTGCTCTCATGTCCCACACTCTGCTCTTGTGCCAAATCTCGTGGCTCAGTTTGGAACTTCATGTCCTGTGGGGGACCGATGAGAGTTTGCCTCTTTGTCAGCATGCTGGTTTGGTTCTGGATGCCTCAGGTGGAGATGGTTCTGGATGCCTCAGGTCGTTGTTGGTTCAGCTCGGGTTCTCTGTCTGTTCGATGGAGGAGGAGGAGTCTCCTGTGGTGAGGTCATTTGTCTGAAGATGGGGTCGTAGCATTCTGACAGGCAGAGAGAGAGAGAGAGAGATCTCGGGACGCATTACCTATAGTTAATTCTAACACACTGAGGTAAAATATATCCAATCCTTTCCACTCTATTTTCCTAATCTTACTATCTGTCTTAGATGTTAAATGTCATCTAAACCCAATTAATGTCTACTAATGGTTGTGCCATATCCCTAAACATTGTTTCCACCCACTGCAACATGGCTACTCCAAATAACTCTTTCAGGAAACCATTTTCTTCTATAAATTAAAAATACCTACATGTTTCAAGCACCACATATTTCACACACTATAAAAGAACATCCCCATATTTTCTCCATCACTTTAAATCTCACTGTTATTTAGAACATAAGTAACTTTTGTGACTGAACATATCTGCAATGTCGCCACAATCTGCTGGGGAATTTTGTTCATAGAGTTTGTACGTACAAAGCTGTACTTGTGGGTTAGTAGCAATACAATAATTGTGCTCAGGTCACCGGTTGGTTGTCCATAAACTTAACAGGGGTGTTTCTGGCACAAACTAAAACATGGATCCAGTGTATTTGGAGATTCCCCTAATCTGTAAATCCCCATCACTGATTTTCCCGATCACTTAAACCCATCTCATCATTTGATACAAGAACTGCATATATGGGGGGTGAATCATCTTGATTGTAACCGCCTCACCTTTGGGACCGAGCATTTCTAACTCCTCCTCTTGTTGCTCAGCTGATCTTTTGGCTCTAGGGATAAGTGAAAGTTTCTGAAACACAGCTGGAGTTTTGTTAGTGATGTGGGCATTATATATGAGTGTACTAATGGATCCATGTCTTACTTGATATTGTACTCCCCATCCAACCAGAAAGGTGCCAAGTGTAATGAGCACAATCAACAATGCTATTCTGACTCTTATCCCTAGGGGACCCCACAATTGCTTTGGCTTTGTTCTTGACATCATCTCTATTTTCTCCCTGGTTGTGTCAGTTACAGAATTTAAATAATGAGTACTATAATAACGTATACAAAAATTGGACTCTTTTTCAGATGTAAAACAAAAATAGGTTTTCACTTTAGTGTACAATCTATAAAAATCTATAGACAATTCGTCTTTTGAGCTGTTTCTATCTTTATCTTATTTCTATTTATTGTTTTGTTCCAGCTCTGCCAAATCAGTCCTAACTCCCAATAATGTTCTGGAAGTTGCCAGTGAAGGGTGACAATGTGTGAGGTGGTGTCAATTTGCTCCTTTGTCTTTACCTTTAAACCGGAGCGCGTGTGAAGTTCATTACAACTTCTCACTGTTCCGTCCACCGGGATCAGCTCACTGTCTTTTGTGAACTTTCACCCTCACCCAATCACCTGGCCGAACAGGAG